AAGAGTTAAACATATAATTTGTACCAGGAGAGTCTTTCTCACCTGATAATGTGGACTGGTACCGTTACTGGGCTAATTCTGAGCATTCAAACTATTGGAGAAGTTTCACGTACCTTATAAATTGATGTAAAAATATTATTTGCTTTAGCCACATAAATGATTCTGCTCAGCAGCAAACAACACATCCCAAACTACAGCATAGAGCAGCTCATCGATGTAGCAGCTCTGTAGCCTGACGTAGAAACATTTTGCTAGACAATGTCAAACATTGAGAAGTTTTAATTATTGTTATCAAACACTGTGTTTTGAAGCCAAAAATACCTCAGAAATATACAGAACCACTCTGAGAATCAACTCATTTAAAGTTAAACTCAGTTTAACACAAAGAGCCTAGCATAAATGTCTGGCTGCTGAACTGGACCGGTCCAGGTCGCTAAGTTTCCAATAGTAGCTCCACAAATCTTTCTGATAAACATTACCAAGACAAACAAACCTTTTTCTTTTCTTTATTCTATTCTAGCTCCTTTTCTCCCTCCCTGAAGGATAAGTCCTTTTTGGCGACATTGTTTTGCTAACTTATCTTCCACCGGAGCTTTGGAGGTTTGGATGCTCATTGCTGCTCATATCACCGTGTAGTGCAATACCTACCACGGCCACCGGGGGGCCCCCCAAGAGCAATTTANTAGCCTGACGTAGAAACATTTAGCTAGACAATGTCAGACACTGAGAAGTTTTAATTATTGTTATCAAACTCGGCGTTTTGAAGCCAAAAATACCTCAGAAATATACAGAACCACTCTGAGAATCAACTCATTTAAAGTTAAACTCAGTTTCACACAGAGAGCCTAGCATAAATGTCTGGCTGTTGAACTGGACCGGTCCAGGTCGCTATCAGGCTAATTTCTGTTAGCAGCTTTGCTAATCTTTACATCACCAAGGCTCATTAAAACAAACCTTTATCTGGGCTGTTTTCTGTTCTTCCTCCTTCTTCTCTCCCTCCCTGAAGGATAAGTCCTTTTCCCAGACATCGTTTTGCTAGCTTAGCTTCTGACCGGAGCTTTGGACGTTTGGATGCTCATTGCA